CATCAATATTCTGTTAAAAAGCTTATTCTACTTAAAACTATACATAGTACAAGAGATTGAAAAGTGGCAGTCATGTAAGGTCACGTTGCCTGCCTCACATTGGCCCACAGTCACCTGCTTCATATAAATCAAAGTGTTTACAGTAACAAAGCACAGGACTGCAAAGCCTATCACAGCTTCTGATTACACTGGATACAAAGTACCAAAGAAAACACGAAAAGGAACTGGTGTTAATACTGATGAATTAAAGAGTAACTACAAGGATCAAAACAGACGTTCACAGCATGCTACATATATTGCTCACAAATTAAAAAAAAGAAAAAGGCTAATACAAAAAGAGAAGTTGGCAGTCTGAGTTTCAGTTATGTCAGATAAAAAGATAAAGCATATACATTCATTATGTAGCTTTCCAGCAAAAGGAGGAAGGATAAAACTGAGAGATTTCAAGTTTACAAAATTCCTATTTTTTAAGCTACGGCTTATATCCAGTTCCAGTCACAAGCATGAAATATTTGTGACTACATTTCCCCACAGAGTCCAAAGACTGTAGCCCCATTTCTTTCTTTACTGAAGGAAAAATTCCTTGCCTTTGGCACCTGAGTGGCCGCATCTGCTGTCACTCCAGCAGCCCGTCTGCACAGCCAGGCGCTCGCCACGCAGCACGAGGACAGGGAGGGAAGCAGGAGGGAAGGCTGGGGTGGAATCTGGGGGCACAGCATGAGCATGAAGTGGCAAATGAGAAACAGGGGATAAAGGTTTAGACTTTGGGATCAGCTGCTCTCATCGTCTGCCAGAGCGGGAGCTGGAGACGCACTGATAATTCACCTACTTTGTTTTAAAATTCCAAGAGTGGATGGAGGTGAGAAAATGCAATTCAACAGCAGCATGTTTTACTCAACCGAGAATGAAATGTCAAAACTTGCCCTTCTACATCCACAAAATAATAAAAGGGAATGGATTTCCACAGCAACTCAGGAGTCTCATTTACTATACAGAAATTCACTGGCAATTTTGGAAGAAGGTATTTTTCTACTGTCTCTCCTACACACAGAAAGAACCTTTGGGACACATCAATGAAACTATTCTAACTGGCAAGCATGTTGATTTCACCTTATGCTGCTTGTGCCCCCACTTATTTTCATTTTCAGACGCTGACAGGGTGAGTTGCTGCCTGCTCAAGCCCACATTTAATCTGATTGTTGGCATTTTAAATACTGACTCTAACTATTGTCAGGAACAAGGGCAGAATTCAGATTCTGTTTTCACTATAATCCACAAGTTTTACGGTGTTCAGTATGAATAAGAACACCGAAACGTGCCGTTTCTCAAGCAATCGCCATAAATCTTGCATTTGGCTCTACTCATAAACACAAAACCCGAATCAGTTTGTTCTAAAGGCCCTTTGCAGTCTGTCCCACTGTGAGGACTCCAGGAACAGTCCAGAAGACCAACCCCATTAACACCCACTTAACTCCCATCCACGCTGCAGAAGAGTGTCTCAAAATTCCCCGCGAGAATTCCTTAGAAGAAACTCTCATGGCTAAAATGCTCTCAAGCAAGGGGAATTTTGCCAAAGCAAGCATTTTCTTTGTGGATTCATTGGATTTTTATTGTAATTCCAGAAATGGAACATGATATGCTGCTAGCAAGTACTGCTTAAATATTCTAAATACGCACTAAGTACCACACTTTCAAATGAGATTTAGAATTTTCCTGCCCAGAAATAACTTAATACTGGAATTAAATGTTTCTGAACATAGGAAATATCCTATGGACTCAATAAAGAATGGTAACATGGGAATTTTACATTATTGTACAAGGTTACGGCTAGGAGGTTGCATCTCAAATAATATTAGGGTTTGAGAGTTGGAAAACCAGGAAGTACTTGACGCAGAGAGCGGAGGTGGGGGCAGTGTAAAATCACAATTCATTCCCCTAAAAAGAAGTAGGGGACTAAACATCTGCTAGAGACCTGGTGTGAGCTGGGGGAGCAGCGGCACGACCACGTTCAAGCAAACTTGCTCTAGGAGATAAATTAATGCCGCTCAAGATGGTCCTAACTCTTCCTCATCCTACTGTGCTCTTTCCATTTCCCACACCTCTGATCTATGCAGTAGGTATGGAATCCCAAATTTATTTTCAGTTGCAGATGAAAAGTTTCACTTGCACTTTCCAAATGTGAAGAAGCTGGTGGATGCATCTCTTCAGACACACCTACATGCTGGGGCACATTAGGGAGGATAAATCTGAAGTTTGGATTGTGAAAAGTGACATTTTTGTCTAGCTCTTGGATTGACTGCTAAAGGCAAGACAATTCAAACAGTTGTATATTCAAATCAAAGACAGGAATATTAAAAAAAAAAAAAAACCCTCACTCTCCACCTTCTGTAACTTTACTCCTCACTTATGAGAAAAGAATCCGAGCCTCTAAGGAAAGTAACCGAAAGCACATCACTTGAAATCAAGAAGATTTGGAATAGATCCTTCTGGCCAAAATTTTTAAGAACTGGCTCAAACTGTACACTTGCTGATGCCAACAGATCTTTTCTCCACGCAGAGCTTAAATAACCCAGCTCTTCTAGAGGAGAGTCCAAACTCTGGAGCATGTGCCCGAAGCGCCTGTCTTCCTGAGAACACACAGGCGCGAGAAACGCTGGGAACGTGGCCTGCCAGAGCAGCAGCTTACAGTTTAACTCCGCTTGGAAAGACTTTTCTAATTATATATTAATGCTTCCAAACAGCCTGTTTCATTTATAATTGCTGCAAATCACATGGATCTAAAACATATTATTCCTTTAAGCTCTGTGGAAACTGATTTTATTCTGTGGAATTTAGATAATTAAGTATCTTCAAAAATATGACTCAAAATGCAAGTGGGCACCTGGCAGGATTTTGCTAAGTGGCTAGGTGCTTAAATTCCCTTTGACATTTAAGCAACGAGCTGCTTTTTCCAAATCCCATTAAACCATCTATCAGCATTGCTATGAACAAAAATACCTTGAAGAATCTGGTGCTTTGACCTTCTGTGAAGTAACAGAAGCAGAATGTTTTCCTTTTTGTCCAGTTTTAATCTATCATAAATTTATAGAGACCCACATTTATAACTATTTATAATGATTGATTTCCTCTGCTCCTAAAGTTTTTTTTTTTTCTCCTAAAACATAAAAAGGGCTTAGAGTGGCAAATCTTTCTTTTTTAAAGTACATTCTTCCCATTTTAAAACGGCCGTTAGGACAAATGATGAACTGTTAAAAAGAAATCCATCTACAGTTCACCGCAAGGCTAAATCTTAATAACTATTTGCACAAACTGTACCATAGTATAAGATGATTTCTAATCTTGTATGATGACACTCTTGTGATGTTCAGCTGCAGGCAGCGTATTCTGGAAAACGCAAATGCATTCACCAATTTGTACTTTTGTCACTTCTCCATTACCAAAAAAATGCAGCAATTTCCAAGAGAACATACTCTATCAGCAGACACATTCTGATGGGATTCTGCAAGCTTTTTCTTTGAGAGTGAGTTTACTGGTACCCAACAAGCTTTCTCTTCTGCAGCCAGGAAGTTGTACACTTTGTTTTACACTGGTCACGGCTGGGATTTCGTGAACTAACATGAATACCGATAAATATAAATCCCAACAAAGCAACACAGAGGGGGAGTATCCAATGACTATGGTATTCTTAAGAATGGTATTATCGAATGAAGTGTGAGGATTCACATTCACGAGTGCTTTAAACCTCCCTCCCGTCCAAAATCCAAGAACATTTGCACATTCAAATTTGGCACAAACTGAGTCTAAAGTGTGAGTAAAACATATGGTATAGAGGCATGACTTTAACACCTGCTCTGAACAAATATCTATTAAAATCATGATTTTGAATAGAAAAACTAGACTATAAATTGTTACACCATAAATGCGATACTTTGAAGGGGAAAAAAAAAGCCACCTGGAAAGCATTTTCAGAAGTTTCAAGTTTACATTGTAGATTAAAAAAAAGATATAGCAAACTACTTGTAACATGACATTTCCTATGATGGAATGTCTTGCAGGTCATACTTGACTCAATATGGCATATTAAAAGAAATTACTCATTTACTACAAGTTTTCTGAAGCAATCCATTTACGGTTTCATTATTTCAGACCTATTCATGTACTTTGCTCAGAAGGCATTTGAGCTGGCAAGTATATTTCATAAGGAAAGAAGTAAAGGCACTCATGTTTCCAAACATAAAAGTCAATCTACTCTAAGAGTCTTTGCATTTCTGAAGGGAAACTAAGTGGTCATATTAGTTACCTAAATCTAGTTTCAACTCCTTTCCAAAGATCAGCTGTGCTTCTTGAGAACTGTGTGACTTTGAAGAATGGAAGAATTTAAAGTAGCACTGTACAGTTCACCTCACGTAAATAAAAGCAAAACTACTGCATGTAAAGTTCTTGCAGTAGAACCACTTTATGCACAGAAATGATTAGACGTGGCCACTACAGTCACTACAGGGAGGGAACAAAGGACTGGAAGAACCTAGAAAGCTAATCGAAGTTCATACATATCAGCATCTCAATGCTTCAGAGAAATCTTATACAGCTACCTGCAAAGATACAGAAATCTGATGTTTTATGCTAAGCTCTCTCCAGAAGAGATTCTGATGCTGTCTACTGGGTAGTTTTCTAAATAGCTAATGTTAAATTTTGTACAAAGTTACTGACTTCGTCCTCAAACGCTTTTCATGCACAGAGTCTGCAGTCTGAAAGTGCAGAAAAAGTGTACAATCATTTAGTTTCCCAATCTGTAACAGACAGATAAAGTGAAAAAAAACAACATGCAAAGTCACAGCAAGGTATCAGGAAAAGTAAAGAAGAGAGAAAAATAATTTTAGTAGCATACTGGTCCATGATTTTGTCAATGAAGAGTGTCAAAATATGACTGATAATATCATTTTTTTTAAAAAACTATTCTGCAATTGTCAATGGAAAAAAACAAAAACAACCTGTATCACCTTCTATAATTCAATAAAACATTAAAAATAAATCTATTGTGCTAGTTTTGAATGTATGTGACAGAAAGAACGGTCACCCTTCTCGAAGTAAAACGAAAAGCCCAAACCAACAGACAAAAGTTTAAGCAGTGACAACTTGCATTCTCTATTGGGTAAGTTTAAGCATCTCTTTAGGCACTTCACTGGTTCATTAAATGCAATACAAAATAAAGCTATAAATATCAACATTTTGTGCTCTTACGAATTTGTCAGAAGCAACAGAAAACAGCACAAAACTGTGACATTTTTGGCAGCTTATTTCTTCCCTTCCCCAATATTATCAGCTGTTCAAGAATGATTTATTTTGGGGATGCTTTGGCATCTCAGTATCAGGTTGTCTTAAGCCACAAAAGATAAAACCAAAACTGCTAGGCCTTAGACAATAAAGAAATTTGGTTTCAAAATTTCTTTATGGCTATATAAGAAGGACACTTTAGCAGTGACATGACAGGGAAAAAAAGCTTGCTTCTTTTTAAATATTGCACTTTTCATTTGTTCACTCACACTAATGCATAGAAACTTTTTATACTTTGAATATTAAATTTCATGCTATGAAAAAGTTATGGGAAATAGATTTCTATACATCCAATATGAAGGAACAGATATGCTAGCCTTCCTTTACTTTCCTTAGTTAAAACATTGAGAAAGAAGAGAGTGCAAAAAACCCACAACCCTATTTTTGGTCAGTCTGAGTATTATCTTGACAGGTGCCAACTAAACAAATTGCAACATGTGATGAGCATGGATGTTGTAAGGACAACTGAGGGTGACTGTCAGTAAAACAAGATTATGCATGATCAAAAAACAGTAGGTTTAGCTGAAATGACAAATTGTGGAGCCTCTTCTCTTGGGAAGAGACAAAACAGACGAGTTTTGTACTTCAGTAGCATGCCGTAGAATTTATCATGATTAATTTCACATTAAAGTGTGGTCAATGCTTGCATCCACATTTCACATCACCTTCAATTGCTGTAGTAAGACAGTGACTAGCACGCAGCCTCCAGGAGACACAGATGAATCCAGTGGGCAGTTCGATTTAACACAGCACATGCATCTCTGTCAGAGTTATGACTCAGTGGAAAGTTCTCAGAACATTCAAAACCAGATCTTCTGCTGGATTCCATTAACCTGAAAAATGATTGCTTGGAAAATAAGTCTCTAAGCACTTTATTCCAGTGCTTAAAGGACAAAGCGCTAGAATTGAGTAAAATAAAAACAGTTTTAGGATTCTGACCATTGTGCAGAAATCCAACCGGAAACAATGCAGAGTAGTGCTCCTCAGTGTAATTTTTGTTATCATTAGTAATGTTAAGCATCAAGAAAATAAAACACGTCATTGCACATTACAGCCGTCGGGAAGCACGGCTAAACTTTGACACTAGAGAATTGAATAACCTGATGCTACATCACAAACAACTTCTGGCGTGTATCTATTTCAAAAGGTCTTTACATACTCAGTAAAAATTCCTTTACTCCCTCCCAGCGGGTGCTTCAGGTTAAGTGACGAGTTATGGCACGGAGGGCGTACAGGAGTTCTGCCTGCATACGAGCTTCCATTAGAAGGAGATTTACGTGAACCTGTGGAAAAATTGTATCAGTCATTTAGTTCACCTTCAAATTTATCATCATTTATTCATTTTTGCTCTTTTTTTAAACTTTATTAAATTACCACTGCAAAAAATAAGGTCTTTTCTCTGGTATACTCTGCTACAAGATTCCAAGTGCTTTTAGAAGAGCTATCTAGTATTAGACAATATTTTAGAACTCCAAGTAATTTCCTTTAACTGCCACTTCAAAACAATTTTCATGTGAAAAGCTCTAATAAAGCAACTTTATATCCTAATAGTACAAATTCGTCATGAATGGTATTTTTGTTTCGTTTGCTACCACCTACTACCACCCTACTGTGCAGTAAAAGGAACAGTTCATCTGGCAGATATGCTAGAAAGCAAACAAGCACTGGACTTGTCAGCAAGCGTGAGAAGATATTTGTAGATACACTGACGTTGTTTATTGATGAAGAAACACCAGGAGGACTATGGATATGGAATAAGGACTACATATATGAAATAAGCTCTTTTTTTGTCCCCAAATCAGAAGTATTGGCATGCTGACCATTTCTGCATTCCCAAGTTTCAACACTTTTCTATTACAGATGCCAGTTCAATATTATGAAGAAGCCATTCAAAATAAAGAGAAGGACCAATAACATTTCCAGTCTACTAGGAAGTGTTTTTGTAAAACGGACATTTAACACTCACTGAATTCACTTCTTTTATTCTTCTGGTTAAAACAATCAGTTTCACAGACACAAACACTTTCAGAAGTATCTTTTTCATTGTTTAAATGCATAAGCACCCACCTTCTCCGAGTGCTTGAACTGACGCCAGTAACTATCGTACATGCGCTTGGTGGTTCTCTCTGGGTAGCAGGTCACTGTCTTTATGTAAACCTTCAGGCTGCGTTCAAGTAACTGATTAACTTCTCCATAGTCATAGTCATCATACCTAAATAAGAGAGGCAATCACTCTGCTGGGTATAGGTCTCCAAAAGCAAGTCTTTGGCAGCATATTAAGCTCTGGCATTGAAGCATTTAGTATATATGCTAGAATAGAACTTGCTAACGGATGTTACAGGCTGACTTCTGAAAAGACATTTCCATACCAACTTCCATCCTGATTCCTAATTATTTTCCTCACTTAAATCAAAAGTTGTATGAATAATATACCAGCAAAACCACTCTAACCTGTGGGCTGAGATACCACCTCCACTTTAACACCTGGATTCCAAGGTAATGCTTTTCACGTGGTTTTCTGTCTGTGTTTACACACTTCAAAACACACTCCTTAGCCAGTGCATTTCGTTCCGTACCTGATTCCGTACATACAGTGGACATAGTTAAATAAAGCTCTTCTTAGCATAGTTGTATCAACATCTTCATGTGTTGCCATAGTGTTATACGTGAGGTTATAGACCATCCGAAACTTCTCATCCAGGAGATGCCCAATGTCAGAATAAAGCCTGTTTACAAGGGAAAAGCCATGATTTTCCCAAGTATAGTCCTGCAGAACCAGAAAGAAAGAGATAAATGTACAGGTGAAGTGAAGTCTCTATTCGGTCCTATCCACAGCTTAATTGTTTCTGCTATCTGTTAGATTTTTATTATCTTCAAAAATTTGTATTTTGAATCTTCCATTTGTATCACATGCTCCATTATGCCAAGCTTCCTGGCAATACATGTTGCTGTTGAACCTTACTTTCAGGTTGGATGCCCTTAGCCTACAAAATACACAACGAGAAAAAAATCACCCTTGTTCTTGAGGTGTTAACTTGCTACTGCCTGCTGTGCTGACCAGTGTCTCACTGGAATGGACCTGTAAGTTTAAAAAATCCTGGAATGGGATGTGAAAATCCAGGCTGCTTTGGGCTTAGACAAGCGCCTGGACTGCACTGGCAGCCCCACGTCGGGGATGAGAATTCTTTAAGAGCGGTGGCACAGCATGAAGGGCAGAGGGGAGCTCCCTGGTGGGAGCAGCACGGAGCCCCTCTCTGCGCTGCGGGTGCCGAGAGCTCGGGAGTTTGCCCGTGTCCTCGGCATGGGTTCAGTCCAACACTGTCCTCTTTGCAGATGAGGGCATCGTCTCCCCTTCCTGCTGTGTCTGGCTCTTTTCAAAAGTGCTGCCAGGCCAGGGCCCTTGCAGAGCCACTCAGAGCACATCTATTCAGTGAACCCCTAATGGGGAGAAAGGAGAGGGGACGCAGGACCATGTTCAGCTGCCTAAACCAAAGCATTCAGTGACATCCGAAATGCCCCGTATTTGGACTCCATTTGCCAGTCCAAAAGGCCCTAGGACCCGCGAAACTTCTCCCAAAGTTACTGCCCTGTTCAGATGCCTGGGACCACGGAGGGTTTCGCAGACGGCCCTGGACACCAACGTTCAGCCAGATCAATCGAGCTGCTTGTGCTGAAGCCTAGAGGGATTTCTAACATGTGGATTTTATTATGCAACCTGCCCAGCCCAGACATGACCAAGCTCAGGGCAAAAAGACAATTTCACATCCCCAGAACATAAATGGCAAAGTTGCCAGGAGCCACGCTGCAGTGCCAAGTGCATGGCAGGTTCTTAAAGACCATATCTCCTTTTTTTTAATTTAGCACCTTCATACAAAACATCCCTCCACAGCTCTGCATCATGGTTCTCCAGTGCTGCTGGACAGGAATGGATAGGAGGTTTTTTTGTTTGTTTCAAGTAGAAAAAATACTATGTAGGACTTTTTTGGGTATCAGACTCTGAAAACAAGAAGTCCCAGAAGGGAGGCAGTACACTTTACTAAAAGCAGTTGATCCATACTAGTCACAGAAAAGAAAAAAAAAATGCTATTTGTTGAACACATTTTTCTATTACTGAATTTAAAGACACAGAGATAAAGATGTTTCATCCAAACCAAGGACTGGATTTATTAGAGGGTCTGGGGATGCTACTGCAATTTGAATAGCATTAATAGAGCATTTGGGAGGCTGCAGGTATATACATCTAACTACTTGTGAGAAGGACATACTAATAAAGTTAAATATTCAGGGCCACTCCCTTATAAGTAGGCCAGAAGCTGTCTTATGCATTTAAGAGCAGAGACATTTTAGTCACGGTTTCAACTTCAGCAGAGCTTTTTTTTTCCACAGGAGCCTGTTGTTCCTAAGTAGTTAAGCAGTATGTTTGATTTATAGGCTCTGACTTTGCCTTATTCTTTTGGCAATACCCACCTGCTTTAGGCTCATATAAAGACCACACAGTAAATCATCCAGATCAGCAAAGTCTGCTTTACAGCTAAATACATTTCCTGAAAGTGATCATGGGTTCTTTATTTTTCAGGCTTAGATAAATCTTCTGACTATGGAGTTTTCCTGTACCTACCTCTTTTCTTTCTTTCTGGTTCAAGGTTTCTTCCACTGCCTGCAATTTGCTCCTACACTGCTGATTAATCTGTTCTACGCCTAGGAATACGACCACCTAGAACCTGCCTGTTACTATTCATATTATGAAGAGTCTGACCATGGTTTACTTTATTTTGAACAATATACAGATGAAAGGGCAGGTCTTTCAATACACTAAATATATAAATACAAATACACATACACACATATATATTTTCACATGTAGCCAAATAGCAATCTTATTTGAAAAGTCATTTTCTTTTCAGACATTCACAGCTCAGTGATTTGGTGCACACAGGAAAACAACACTCACCAAATGATTCTCAAAAACATATATATATATGTTTATTGATAACCACTGCGCAGAGAATACTTTAAACATGTCAGAAATTAAGTGTTGTTCTAGTTGATTTTTTCTATATTTGGAGAAAGGAAAAGAAACTATTCCTTCCTTAGCTTTCACTTGTATTCCACATCTACTGATACACTTTACATCAGTTTTACCATCAATCCCTTTGATATTTGAAGACTGAAAGCTAAATATATCCTTGTATGTCTATAGCAACAAAGACTCACCTGTCATAAACTTGTAGAAGCCCGCAAATTATTTAGTGTACCATGGCAAGAAAATGTTCATGTGACAAACATGTTTCACTACAATTACTTTGCACAATTTGTCCAGTAAGAAAATGTGTATTACTCTGAGTGAACGTATTTTAAAGAAATGCTACCTGAGCTCTGAATGTTGGCAGATGCTCTTCTCCTCGCCTTGCAAAGTCTTTGTACCCAAACCCAGGATCTTCAATGTAGCGGGAGACATCTGTAGAAACTATCTCATCATCAAATGCTGTGAAAAAACAGCAGAGTGGATGTCAGCACTAGTACTGCCCTCTACTGAAGGACTAGAGAGTGATTTAAAGATTTTTGCAAGGAAAAGAAAGGAGTGAAAGGAGGAAAAATTTCACCTCATCTGTGTTCCACTTAACCCAGCTGCTTGTATAGGATTCATCACTACTGTGTCACTGAAATGTCAGCCTAAAGCAGACATTCGGAATGGCAAGACACGGGCTGAGCTACTGCCTGGAGATAAACCTTCCTCTCTGCTGACTTCAGAGGGGAGCTAGATATCTTCAGCTGGGCAAGATGTGTGCCATTAGTAGGCCATTGTGCCAGTGAGAGAAACAGGACAACAGGATTGCTATGTTGAGTCCGTCGGGGGTCAGGAAAACGCAACAGCTCTACTCTGTAACCCACAACACAAGCAGCGAGACAGCAGCACGACACTCCACTCGCAAGTATCAACTGGAGAGTACATGAGAGCAACGCGCTGCGGGGGCACGAGGCTGCCGCGCCAGTAACTAAGCATCCTCCAAGAGCTCCGAAGCGCGTCACTAGGCAAGTGCAGGTTCTCCATCAGGAATCAATCTTGCCCTCCTGAATAAACAGGCTGCTTGTTTGTGCAGCCACCTCTGCAGGAGTTGCCTAGGGCAGAGCTGACTGCAGCTGACCCTCCTGTTAATATCCTGGCTCGCTTCCACGCGCGCTCACAGAACAGTTGCCATATGTCCACTCTAACACCTTAAAAAGTCAGTTAACTAAGAATTGCAGAAGTGCTTTATCTCCTCTTTGCCTCATTAAACAATCAAAACATAACTGTGTAGGAAGAAGCTTGCACAGCATCTGCTACAGCTAATCCTCAGTGAAGAATAAAAACCTACAGGCACATAGGGAGGAAACAAGGAGCTAAACAAATGTACCTGCAGCCTCCTCAAGAAATCTTTCTGTCCCAAGCAACACCCCATCCTAATAAGCTCCAAGTCACAGAAGTCCTAGTTTAAAAATGAGGTTGTAGACTCAAACTGACAACTGTAGAGGCTGTCAGTTTGTCTGTGCTATTGGAAGACTGTCTGACCAAAGAAAAATTGAATGAGAATGGATGATGCCCACTTTTAAAAGTCTATCAATCAGTGATGATTTTGGATATATTTCACACAGAGTCACAGAGTGGTTGAGTTTGGAAAGGACTTCTGGAGATCATCTAGTCCAATTCTATTTCCTTTCAGAGATTTTGAGTATTCTTAGAGCACCAGAAAATCTTTCTGATGATTCACAGTACACTCTTCCCCCCTTTTGGGTTCAGTGCACAGAAACTTAAACCACCTTCAATTCACAAAGTGGTAGTCTGGGAAAACATAGGACATTTTATGGGTCACTTTATCAAAAGATATGAGCTACATTTTCAGGTAGCCTCTACTATGTGGAGCTGGTTGGACATCCTCACTGTCCTAATCACATTGTTTCTTCTAAGACATTCTTTGCAAGGAAAGAAAAACCCAAAATCTGTTTCTTTATATGAAACAGATTTCATTGCACGGTTTGTTAGAGATGAAGGCTTTTAGAAGAAATGAAAAATAAAGAAAAACAGGCTATCAGCTCTTAATTTTAAACAATACTTAAGAATGAAATGAATGCTAAGAAATCTCTATGATATTGCAGTAATAGAAACAGCATAGCTGACTGATCACTGGAAAACAGGTGGACTGAGACGTCCTTTCCAGAGAGAGGAAGTAATTAAAACAGTAAAAAGTTGGGTCTTGTTGCATTAGTGTAGAGATAGTGAAGGCTACCAATGAGTGATATATAAAACTTCTAGGTATTGTAGAATCTAAAATTGTGGAATATCAGTTGTGAAGTGAGTATTCACACATAGGAAACAATTTGAAGAGCACACAAAGAAACAGACATCTAACTCAACTTCAAGAAGCCTAAGGCTTCTTTTTTTTTCCCAAATAGAAAAAGCTAAATTTCAAGTAGCACCAAGGGTGACAACAGTTGCTAATCAATAAATCTTAGGCAGATGAACCAAGTCATGGGACCTTACTAAAGTAAAAGTCAGAATACAGAAACTGGCAGAGAGAGTCATAGTCATTGAACTGAACTCAAGCGTTCAGGGCTCACAAAGAACAAACAGACTGGAACTGGAAAAGCATAAATACCTCCACTAATTACTAGCAGACTCTCCTTCTTTTCATTTTCAAAGCGAGTTGCCATTTCTTCTTGAGAGGCTTCTTCATCCTCTTTATCTTCTTGTAGCCTCTTCATCCTTTCCATTAAGGCCTCCAGCTCACTTAAAGAATCTGCAATCTGCAAAGACACCATAACATTCTGGAAAATTAGAAGATAGACAACATGTGTCATCTTCAGATTTCATGCTCTACAGAAAATGCTCTCAGAAAAGGTATCAGCAGCAAACATGAAAATCCAAGCCAGAATGCTTTATTCACAGGTGAGACAGACAAGGAGCTTTCAGAAAGTCGGAAGAAGGGAGCGGGTAAGTGTTGCTCTGAATTTATCATTCTACTGCAGTAAGATTAATAGTAAAAGTGGTGATGTTTGAACATGGAAACCACAGTCTCTTATAATATACATCCTACCACAGAGATGGCTCAGGAAAAGCACTCTGTGCGGTCTGTGTGCACCAAAAAAACCCAACTTTTAACATGAAGGTCACTTTACTCAGGCAAATGGTAATGCAAAATATCTTACTGAAATGATGAAGCGCAACCCTGCAACGCACAACCTGACAGAGCAAATCAATGTTCTTTTTATTATGTTTTTCTAGAAATTCAAAACAACTTTCACATAGGTCTTTTTCTTCCTTTTGTACTTCTTTATTAGAATATATCAAAATATATCAAAGATTGGCATTCTGTGATCTGCCTTGATAATTCAGATTTTTGATAAGATAAATTGCTTGGTGTTTCTTTTCCTTCTTCTTTTTTTAAATTCTGATCATCTGCCCACAACTAAAAATGTTTTATATCATGTTACTCATTGCTTAACAAGCAGTACAGAGCTAGAAGCAGCCCTTAGCTCACTACAAATGCCAAATGCACAATAAGAAATACCGGTGATTTTAGCTAGCATGCCTTACATCCCAGAAACCAGAGATGCAATAACCGACTGATCGCACGCTCACCTTGTAAACTCAGTGCTAATTTGTAAAATCTATCCAGTGACTTGGTTTATAATCCCTGTCTTCCATCAAAGGAGATAAGGCTAATTCAGCAATCAGTCAAGGACTCTTTTTTTTAAGCATTATAAAACCACTTTCAGAAAAATATCTCTTTTTAAATTAAGAAACTAGCCATTAAATTTCTCTTTCGATTGATTCAAGATCAGAAACTAGTGCGAAGAATAAAACCTTTTTACTTTAGTCATTTTCCTCTCATCTGCAAGGAAGTGCTTCAAGATTAACTTTTTTAAGATCATAGGCCTTATCAAAGTCAAAAGGTGTATTATGACCTTTGTTTTTTTCCCTTCCCCTTTTTCATTCCACATGTTATGAAAACTTTAATAAAATGCTGCAGCCAGTGATATACTATCTGAACAAATTCCAAATTTTGGCTTTCAACTGGAAGCAAAGTTTTAGTCTTGCTCAATGGTTTATAAGATTAACTATTAAAATCACATTATTCTGACTATATTTCTCTGTTTCAATGTGGTTTGGAAACAGATTACACTGCAAACTGCTAGAGCTAACGCAAGAGTTATCAGACCCAGACATTCCAGTAAAGTAGACAAAAAAAAATAAAGAGCTTTAAAGCTACGCTGAAATTTAAACAGGAAAGAATGGAAGAAAGCTTTCTAATGCAAAACAGAGGCAAGCAAACGAATCTTCTTGCAACACTAACCCCAAAGTTGCTACTTGTGAGGGATGCATTTTCTATGTTGTTGTCATTGGCAAGATCACAGACACAGAAGTTGTTGACGGCTATAAGTCTGACTCCATTAGACGTATCCGGATCTCTCTCTGGATTAATGCCACTACCAAATACAAAACTTGCCAGGGCATGATAATGTGCCAACAGGACAACAGCGTGCACCAATTCAGGAAGAGACCAATTATTTTCCCCAGTCTTGACAAGTTTCTGAAATGAGAATAAAAAAAGTTTGTATAAGACTATACATCTTTTAGAAAGGCATCAATTCTTTTCTTCCACTACCTTCATATTTCTCTTGAACAGAAATTCTCAAAAAGAGAAACCTAATATATTACTTCTTTTCTATTGGGGTTATTCTAGTCAATGCTATTCCTAAAAAATAAACCTTGTTGGCTTTGTCATATTGATGACTTTCTTGGGTTATTCAGTACTTCAATACTTCCTTGAATTCTTAAACTGAAGATAATGAAGCCTAGCTGCATACTTGTGTAGTTACCTGCAGTTCTTATTTTAAGACATTCACTGCAGTCACATTTAACAGGTACCTGAATGTGCTCTTTTGTGATTAGCCAGGGTCGGTGTGCAAGGAGTTTGTTTATCTCATTTAGATTTTTCAGTCTTTGTGGAATGTATTCTAAACCGTTCAGCCATTCTGCAATTCCTCCAGTCTTCAAAAACTCATCAACGTGCATATTTATTAGGTAGGAACACTGATGTCTGGCAGCAGCCTGAAATAATTAAAACACAAAAGCGAAAGTGCAGCATATTAGCGTATAATCTGATTTCACTGCAGGTAAAAAACAGGATACATCCACAGTATGAAAATATAATTTAGTTGCAAGGAAATGTATTTGGGTTTTTTTGTGAAGCATTTTTTGTGAAGCCAGTAAAGAGGATACACAAAAAAAAAAAAAAAAAAAAAAAAAAAGTTTGGCTACTTTACTTTGAATCACCAAATCTAATTTAGGTTGCAAGGGATCTCTGCAGCTCATCTGCTCCAACCCACAGCAGGGCAATCTTCAACCAGATTGCTTAGAGCTTTGCCTAGACAATATCTTCATCCTTGGAGACCCCTCAATCTCTGTTGGGCCCAGTTCCAACATTTCACCATCCTCACGGTGAACACAGTTTTCCTCATGTCTACCTGAAGCTTACAACTTGCATGAGTCTGTTGCCTCTCATCCTATTGCTGTGGTCTGGTGGTTACAATCCCAGAAGTGAGGAGCCACAGCTCTAAGTGCTGTCCGTGAAACCTCACTCCCACGGGCATATCAGAAGGGTCTCACTGTGGGATACCAATAAAAAAAGAGCCTATTTTGCTAAATCTCCCTTCTCAATGAAAGCCTTTTGACTAGATATGCTTTATTCAAATGAAAATCAACTTCAAAAAATATTCGTGCATGTACACCCATTACCTAAAATGTCACACCAGTCCTTCCCTTCTGAATTTCTCCATTTTTCCCTTATATATATATATATATATATGTATATATATATACACACATATATATATAAAAGAAAGCCCAGATGACAAAAAAAGAGTGTGTAGGTTGTTGGTACACACCATTATAGCAATGTAGTGCCTATAGGGCAGTGGAAGGGGCCCATCCATGCGCAACATATAGAACTGGCTGCGGAGGAAAGACTCCAGGTACTGAGTGTGAATACTCATGACCTGGGTGATGTTGTCCAGGCGACCAGATGTAGAGTATTCTTCCACAAGTAGATTCGTACGTTCATCCAAACCATTTGCTTGCATAACCTTAAAAATAAGACAGAAAAGTTTAACTGAGAGAGGTTTCCTCCAGCTTTAGTGGGATGGCAGCATGCTGCAGTATGAAAGATTTGCTTTTGCACAAACTTGCAAAATTCTGTAGATATGTGTGCACATATAAAAATGTATGTGCATGCATGTGTGCAAATATTCACATATAAATGTGTCTTGTACACTGAGAACTGATAAACACTATGCACCAGTAATTTTAATAAGGTGCCACGAAAACCTATAGGGTAAACTCTCAGCCACTTGAAGTCAGATCTGTATGGAAGGAAGCAGAAGTTAAAAAGAAAGTCACATCTTTATGGAGGTCAGTCTGTATAGACACACATAGCACCTGAGCATTCAGCCCTACCACAGACTTCAAAATTAATGGAGAAGCACTGGGTTATGTAACCAAATTATAGAAACAGTCTGGCAATCTACCACTTTTGTGTTTGTATAATTGAAGAGAAGATCAAATGCTAATTTGTCCATAACATTCAAGTGTTATTTAGAACAGGAATTTAATACTTTCTTTAAACAAGAGCTGTTCTTTAATTATTCCAGCCAACCTGGACCTTGGGCGCAAGATGAAATGCAACAGTAAAAGAGGAGCTCTTGCACTGCAAGTCTTGACATAATATTAATGCTATTACTCAGTGTTTATCAGCAAGAACAGCCATTAGAAACACATTCATCATTAAAGTTACAAGCAAAAGACTAGAATACACAGTAGTTATTCTTAAACTATACAGTATTAGACCAGCTAGGTTATTATTGAAAGCACTAAGGAATGGGAACACACTTCAGCCAGTTTAGTGCACATGAGGATAGAAAGTGCTTTAAACTACCAAAACACCATTCTCTTGTTGAATTTGCTTCTGTATAAAGCAAGTTGTCCTTCTTCATGATGGGCTGATGAACAGACTGTCTCAAATATTTTTCAATTAAGTTTTGTAGAGGAGTTTATATTATATATAATGTGAACAAGTTACTGCATTTTCGTTTCTCACTACTGTATTTCCCTGTTTTACTTGTGGGTCCAGAAAATAAGGGAAGAAGCAGAACTATCCGGCTAAGGAGCCCCATGATTTTTATATGTATTCCCTACAACAGCTTTTCTGCATTTTAGACCAAAAAGAGGCCTCCTCACTTATCATTAAGAATACTTTTACCATCAGAAGTTTATCTATCCATTAGAGTCAAAAGCTATGTATATATATAATGGTGTATCACTCACTCCACTGTAAGTAATATCCCTTATTCTGCAGCAAGTGAATCTTCCAGGTATTTCTTATGGAAACTACATTTCAGTTCTGCTACAGTTCTGCTGAGATTTCTGATCTCCAGTTTGTCAGGAGCTTTCCCTTTAACTCAGTACAAGTGATGGAAAAGAAATTATGCTGAGAAAGCTGAAATATAATCCAGCATTGTTGCTATGTTGGGCACAGAAATATGCAGCACTATTTCTTCTGAAATTTCTCCACCTATATTGCTGTTCTCTTCAGGCTGTATACGTAGCTCCTCCTGATTTATTACCATCCATGGATTCACAAACACGTTGTCTCAATTCTCCTGGTAAAGACTTATGACACCTTAATAACAACCTAATTGTAAAGGTTCCCATTACTCTGTCCATATCAAAATCTTTTCATTACCAAAATAGAGTAGGCTTTGATAAGAGCAATGTTCTGTAATTAACTTATTGAGATTTGCAAGACATTAAATGTGTTACTAATTTACAATTACATCTATCAACTGTATTATTTAACAGCCAGGGAACAGGGGGAAAAGACCAGCCACTTGCATAACAAACAGTCTTCAACACTTGCTCTTGATATTAACTTTTTCTCGACGAACCTCAGCCGCAGGTGGAGGTTCTGTTTTTCTCCAGGGTTACTACTGGCTCAAGGCTACCCAGTGCTTTCCTTCCATACTGTCAGCTGTCCCCAGTTATCAAGCACATCATTTGTGCAGTAAATTCATTAACAATAAACAAAAACTTTATATGCAATCTTTCTCATTACCTTTATTTTTCCCCTCTTCACACAATTCTTGTCTTAATAAGAAAAAAAAGAAGTCATTAGGAAGTTTGGCATCTCAGGTCCCTATTTCATTTTGGGAAAACCCCCTTCACAAGTTGGACTGGCTGGAACTCATTCTCTGCCCCCTGCTCCCCAAATCTAAGAAACTCATTTTAAACTGTATCCTTTTTCGCTTATATTTTCCTGTTTGCAGGCTTTGTACTTGCTCTGTTTTTAGGTTCAAACCTCCTCTGTGTAGGCAAAGAGAGATTCAGAGAAGTCGGCCCTGTTGTTTTAACACGGGAACTGCCCGGCTTTAGCAACTACTCAAAATTAGAACAGAAAAGGGACCTGGTTTTATACTTTGCCACCCCAAATCATTCATCAATAAATGATGCTCCGTGGAGATTAATATCATGGGAAAAGAACGACACTACAGGAAAGTTGTAGCAAGCTGCAAATTAACATTTAAAGTGAATATTAAATCATACGCAAAGATCTTGAGTTTGAAGTCACACTGCACCTTTCAACCATAAAGTTGCTTAAGAGCCACAGCTGTGATCTATGAAGTTAGCCAGATTTTTAGGTTCTCTCAAACTGAAGGTCAGACACTGCTCTGAGAGTTATATAATCATTAAGAGGATAGGCCTCCCCCCAGTTCTGAAATTAAAGTAACAACCCCTCAAAAGCGGCACACGCAGCATTTACGTGTATCCTAGGGAGGAGGGACAAGGGAGAGTGAGTCAAACAGTCCCACTCGTAGGGAAGGGGAGGCCGGATCCCAGCCCCTGCTCCTGATAAACCCTCCCTTCGGCTCACACGGAGCCGCCAGCACCTCCTCGCTAAGAGCCCCCGGGCCGCGCACTTACTTCGTTCTCTGGTATAAAGGCACTTGGTCCTCGTGTTAAAGGTGGAGAGACTTGCACTCTCTTCTCCTGCAAGAGAGGCAGGCAATTCTATCAGCACCAAGAATAAGACATTAACTTGCTTTATCTTCCTGCATTAGATCCTAAAGGCCTTGGCTCAGTTCTCTCCCCAAGGCCATCCGGGTGCACCCAGAGCAGGGAGGCTACCACAGCACATCCAAGAGAGCCGCCTCGCACGCCCCCTCCTTCGCTCCATGGAACCGCTTTGATTTGAGCAAGATAAAAAACAAAAGTAAAGAATCTAACCACCACTGCTTTACAGACCAGGTCGAAGAAGGGCAATCCACAATTTGGCGCAATGTTAAAATCAGCAATTTGGTGGATTGAATGGAAGCACTGAAAGCAAAGCGTAAAAAAGGAAAAGAAAAAAAAATCTATCACTGTATGTGCACAGGTGGCACTTGGGAAATGAAATTAAGCAGCAGTTTTCTTCAGTATCAGGATCTAATTAGATTCTCAGTGTTTGGAAGTTTAGAAGCACTTTCTGTGCCAAATATTTGCATGAAAAGCACACTCGCCCCCCAGCTCCCCCAAAACAGTAGGAACCAACTGAAGAACCTACTTGGAAAAACAACAGAAAGACTAAGTTGTGTAGCTGCTGAATCCAGAAGGGAACAGAACAGGCGACAGCCTTTGGGCACCAGTGTGAGCTAAAGAAGATAGGGCTTAAAAGGGTGGAGAAAATCAACTTCCCTTTGATGATGATACATTTAGTATACAATAAGCAGAGAGCAGTAACCAAGACTTTCGGATTTATTAGCAAAGCAAAGAGATTGAGCTGAGAGTCTGGAGGTCTTAATACAGTCGCCACTGATGGGCAGAGGGTGGAAGGGTTCCTGAGAGGTTGTCTCAAGGGCAAGATCGGCACTTTCTGCTGCATTGGCCACCCACGTCCGCTCTGACAGACCATCGAGGGCAGGTCACTTGGTTCAGGGCCTGACTCCTTTCGTCATTAGGAAGTTTTCCCTAATGTCTGACTGAGGTTTCCCCTGATACAGTTCGTCTCTATTCTTTTCCTCTTCATGGTTATACTCCACGTTCCTAGAAACCCTGGCTGCACATTTTCTGAAGTCACTAATTACACTGCAGTGTTAATGACTTTTAATACGTTATCCATCAGCAACTGTATCACATTCGCATACTAAATATTTCATGCCCTTAACATAAAATGTAAGCTTTTCCATACCAATGACCCCTGAATATCTCAATAATTCTACCAGAGAGGCTTAAATTTAATGGTCACGTATATAAACAACAGCACTGGTCTGCCACAGATTTCCACACAGGAAAATAAGACACTAGAAACCTAACTGTCCTACTTGGCTAAAAAAATATCCCATCCTTTCAAAATTAGTGTATGAGAAAACATGCAAAAGTCAGCATAGATTGTTCAGGAAAGATACTCCAAAACAAACTCTCCCTTGACAATTAAATTTGTTGTTTTGGAATAATTAGCTGCTAGAAGATGAAGAATGCACTCACGCATGTTCTCCTCTCTTTCTGAAATAATGTGAACCATTGTGTGAAATCAAGTAGTCAGGGGATGACTTACTGTAACAACTGCCTACTGTCACAGGCCTACAATACATCAAATTCTTCTCATGAATCAACTGTTTGCAACCTAAAATAATTAAAAAAGATGTATGCAGACTGGGTTTATACATATGCAACCTCTTTTTCATATAGCTACACAAGGCACAGGAAGATATCTCTTGTTTTAAACACCTTTTTTTTTTGTTAGCAGTAAGCCATTTTAGTCAACACTTAAGAAGCTTTTCCAAGATTTCTATTAATGATGTATGCTATGTGCTTTTTGAAGGTTACCCTAATATTAGATTTTAAAAGCCTTCATTCCACATTGAATAATCTGGAGGAAACAGCTTGTGCGACAGAGACACTTGGACAGCTGAACATCTTTAGCCTTTGGCTCCAGCTCAGGTCTAAAATAGAGCTGAAACACTGATTTCTCCATTCTGCTGTCTGACCTGTATCCTGCTTTTTCAGGCTCTGTAAAGCTGGTCATCTAGGCCAGCCCTGGGCCCAAACCTGCAAACACTCCATGCAGCAGGGCCTTCGTTGCCTATTCTCCCCATTCAACAGGACTGTTCTCCTTTGGAACTTGGACAGGCTACTGCTGCGGAGGAACGGCATTCAAAGAGTGCTCAAGGACCCAAGAAGGAAGGATCTCCAACTAATCTATGTGAACCTAACAAAGTGAAGGAGACAGCCCAACATGAAAAATTAGTTTAATATAGTTTAACTTAGTTTAATATATATTCACAAAGGACAAAACCCAGCTCCTTCTGGGTTATAAGAAAAAAGTTTGGAAAAAAAGGAAAGAAATTCAAGCTAATGAGTCTAATTACAGTATGCTTTTAAGAAGCTTTTTTTTAAAAAAATGAAAAATGTGTTTGTATACAGACACAAATATATACATATTTATATATGTATACACACACACAAGAATTGTATATATGTCCTTCCACCAGCACAGAAGCTTATTGTCTCTTCAAGTCAAAGCACATATTTTAGTAAAACTGTTTAAAACAAGCCTGTGACAAGAAGAGGAGCAACCTCGTTATACAAGTTCTCAGGCTACTATTAATAAAAACATGGGAAGTTTACAAGCATTAAGCAATGTTGGCTTTCTTAGACTTTAGATAACAGCCACTGTTTCTGGGCACCCATTATCAGAGTGGGTAGTGATTTAGATCACTAGCATTTAGCGGTGATTTAAGATCTATCCAGGAACTTAGATATGAAAAAATACATATGGGAGTTGGAGAGAAAGCAACATTTGAGCTACACGGTCCTTCGTCACACAAATTCTTCTTGCAAAGCTTATTGTTTCCCGGGGAAGCTGATTCAATTTCCTGTTCGACTCGTCTTTACAGGTTAGGCTCGCTACTGCATACTAAGTTAACCAGGGTCCCCAAATATCTTATTTGAAATTGGATTCTTATGCTAAGCGACTGAGCCACGAAAAAGGTTGCTGAGCAACCAAAACGCCACACGCACATATATGAGCCATTTTCTGCTGCGTGTTCCTCCATAAACACATTGTCATCCTATGAATAAGTTATCTTAAAAGGTTGGCAACCAGCTCCATTTACATGAAAATTGGAGTCTTTTTGGGGGGGGGTGCTTCTTCGAAGGGAGACGGACAAAGAGGAGCTTCAAAGAGGCGCAGAGAAAATGGAGTCAGGGCTGCCCGGAGAGGGGCCCAGTTGGAGCCAGCCCCGTGTCCTGCAGCTAATCTCCCAGAGGCATCGCGAGCACCACAGTGCGAATTTAGTCGTTACAAACCAGAAGATCCTTGGCCCTTGGAGCGTGCTGCACATCTCCATTCCTGCCGAGCCCTGCTAAAGGCCCCCGAGTTTTATTTTCAGTTATGGCAGTGACCTGCACATCAAGCGGCGGGAGGACAGCGCCAACCAAGGCAGCAAAGGCAGCAGGCCCGGGCTGGGGACGTCTCCTGCGCCTCGCGGGGGTCTTGTAGCCTCCTCTCCGAAGCCCTGGGCGCAGGGAAATAGAGCTGCCTTCCTCCCCTCCGGCATGTGAGTCACTTCGCTCCAGGGCTTAAAAGAAACAGTTATTTTTAGCCAGCACAGTAAAAAGGAGGCTAATTTTGCGTGAGGCAGCATGGAAGGGAGCCGCGATCTGACGGAGTGGATGGAGCGGCTGCTCTGGTGAGGGCCCTCGCCCCCGGAGGCGCAAAGCCGCCCAGCGGGTAACGCAGCCCAGGAGCGGCGCTGCGGCCGCAGAGAAGGGACTGGTCTAACAAACAGCACCCCAAAATCGGCCTCTCCTGAGGAGCAGCAGGTGCCTTTTGATGTTTCTATTTAACAAGAAATAAGTTTTTAGGGAAAAGATACCAATGCGTATCTTATTTATTACATACACTTACTATCACTCCCCCCAACCTCTCCCCACACACAAACTACAGTAACGTGGCCCTCACAGGTTTTATTTTTACCTCTAAGCCATACTTGTGGTGGGGATATATTTCTCCATCTGACTCTTAGGGTCTCCTCTGGCATTCGGGTAACCATTATTTATTAAAAACCGAATCATTAAAAGCTCCAATTTCCAAGAGCTAGCCTGCTGTTCCATGGCCAGACTGCCTGATCCCCTTCCAGACGCAGCTTTCAGAGGATACTCTGGTTTATGACTCTGTTTTTCTGCTGCTTTACGATACTTCTTCCTCAGACAGTTCTACCTTTGCCAAGGCCATTCTGGGCTCACACTCTTTGCAAGAGCAAAGTCTTTATAGTATTCTAGCATGCAGAAGGACAAAGATTAAATTACATCTCTATTAGTTCAGCAGACTCCATCTAGTCCCTCATATCCACCATCTTTCAAGCATTTTATTACATTTATTGACTTTGCTTCCATTTCTGTTTTCTTATTTTTTGCATTTTACTGGCACTTTGTGTACGTCATTTCTGTATACCTGCAAGTTCCCAGCATAGGGCCTTACAGAAGTGCCTGGTTTAGGCTTATTTACCTATTCATGTTTTATTGTCTTCCCACCAGAAAAGCACTAAAAGCATGTGTATTTTAATTCAATTTACTAAATTGCCTCTTAAGTCACTCTACACTTCATAAAAGTGTGCATATACACACAAATCTTTGTGATTTAGCATACAGACAAACATATTCATGAGATATTAAACATCTACCCTTTAAAAATTTCTCTAAAGTACTTGATGCCGTGAACGCTCAGGCACAATGTGTACTGCAGCCAGTGTTGCCCAGTTATGCTCTTCTACCTCATATCCCACATTAGCTTCTGATTGCTACTTAGCAACTCAACTAAAACAAAAAATATATATAAAAAGAAAATTGAAGTAGTGAAGTGACATTTTTTGTAACCAAAGAATAAGGCTTTGCTCCTAATTTTGACAATTGACATTGTCCAGTCTTGTTTTTCCCTCTGAGTAGACCTTTAAAGACAGACTAATATCCCTCTATTTTACTCAGTCCTAATACAGACTATATTTAGTCTAGAT